ATACTCTCGTTGCAAGGTCAAGGTATATCAGTAAATTATGATGCCTCAACTCCTACATAAGTTGCAACCGGCTAGCTATATGGATGTCTCAATAGATGTAACAAAATGGTGTAACGATTTTCGGATTGCCAAACTTGAGTTTCCAAATTTTCTGCAGGGAGGGTATAATTACTACATCCTAAAGGACTTGTTAGGGGATGGAATTTTCACAGTTGATGGTGATAAGTGGCGGGAGCAGAGGAAGTTGTCAAGCCATGACTTCTCCACAAGGGTCTTGAGGGATTTTAGCAGTGTGGTATTCAGAAAAAATGCAGCAAAGTTTGCCCATATATTGACTGAAGCTGTCAAATCCAACAAGATAGTAGACATTCAAGTAAGTCCATGAATCAAGTCGACTTCACAGAATGGTGCCTTGTTTATTCTTGTAACCAGATGCGTAATCCTAGTGTTATCGATGTAGGATCTATTCATGAAAGCATCTCTAGATTCTATATTCAGAGTTGCCTTTGGAGTTGAGCTAGACAGCATGTGCGGTTCAAATGAAGAAGGCAAAAAATTTAGCGATGCATTTGATGATGCAAGTGCATTGACAGTTCGGAGATATGTTGATATCTTATGGAAGATTAAAAGATCTCTCAATATCGGATTAGAATCCAAATTAAAGGAAAATATAAGAACTGTCGATGTGTTTATTCATAAGATGATCCAGAGAAAAACTGAGGAGATGAGTAAACCGGAAGCTGATTTATCTGTAAGTGAATCGCCTTATAGCTACTACTTTAACTAATGCAGATTGCAGATAGGTGCTTATATATAATACTAATGTTTTACCAGTTGCAGTGGAAGAGAGAAGACATTTTGTCAAGGTTTCTGCAAATAACCGATACAGATCCAAAGTATTTGCGTGATATAATATTAAACTTCATAATAGCTGGCAAAGATACAACAGCAACCACCCTTTCTTGGTTCATATATGTGCTTTGCAAGTACCCTCATGTACAGGAAAAAATAGCACAAGAGATTAAAGAATCAGTAACTGAGAAAGAAAATGCAACAGATGTAACTGATTTTGCTTCTAATGTGAGTGAAGATGCCCTTGAAAAGATGCAATATCTTCATGCAGCATTGACAGAGACTCTTAGGCTCTATCCTGCAGTTCCAGCGGTAATAAAGAACTTCTTTTATCATACAGCCAGCCAAATAGATGTATTCTTTAAGTTGTTACTTTTGTTTTTCCTCTTAGTGCAGGATACAAAACTATGCTTTTCGGATGACACCTTACCAGATGGATTCAGTGTGAACAAAGGGGACACGGTGTCTTACCTACCATATGCAATGGGAAGAATGAAATTTATATGGGGTGATGATGCAGAAGAATATGAACCAGAGAGATGGCTTGATCGCGATGGTTTCTTCAGGCATGAGAACCCCTTCAAATTTACCGCTTTCCAGGTTGGTCAAAGCTGTTATCAGTTTTATTGAAGCCTTGGACGCGATTCTGTATAATTAACCTAGTGCCTATATACTATCACATATTCACATTAACTATCTAGCTAAGCACATTCTTTTATTGATAAAACAGGCAGGGCCGAGGATCTGCTTGGGGAAGGAGTTTGCTTATAGACAGATGAAGATATTCTCTGCTGTGTTGTTACATTACTTTGTTTTCGAGTTGAGTGATGACAAGAAGGCTATCAACTACAGGACAATGATTAATCTTCACATTGATGGGGGATTACATGTTCGTGTCTTTCGTAGATAGGGCAATTAGAACGAGTTTACATAAATATGTAATAAAGTATATTAGCATCGGTCCAGTTCTGGCCGAATGTTGTTTATGACATCAACATCCTATCAAATAACATTAACCTGGCATGAAAATAAGGTTTTCTATCTATGGGATGTATCATTGTTACACATTCACATTTTCCTTGTTACCCCTTCCCTGACCACACCTTAGGAGAGAAGATGCTAAATCTTCTATTGGTGCCACAAGTCATTGCTTTAGTTGCCTTATAGTTAAGTTACGCCTATATATATGCTCTTTTTTTTTTATCAAAGCAACACCATTTACTGTTATTAGTTGGCTTGAAATAGTGTCCATTTTATCTTTTCCCCCAATAATCATGTAGACTCTTGTATCGAAAATAAAAAACTTAAGCATTAGAGGTTTTTCTCCCTCCAACTTTCATTTTCTATTTGAGCTTATTTCTCTTTTCGTTTGTATTAATTAACACATGGAATACACATAACAGTATCAAATGTTATTCTGGCTTTTGAACAATACAATTCTTGGAGAGGATTTGGAAGCAAATGATACCATATAAAACACTTCAAATTTATGCTGGCTCGACAGATAATTTGATAAACCAATGATTTTTTTTTTGTATCTCTCAAAAATCAAATGCCTAACCCTAACATTTTCGAAGAAAACCAAGCCTATGTTACTGTGGACCAAATCTTGAAGATGAATTAAGTCAAAAAAGGAAACTTTAATAATATGATTGTATTTCAAGTTGATAATCTTAGTCTTTGGTTTTATGAGATGGTCCCTAATGGAGCCATAAATTATCTAAGCATTAGATGGACCAGCATCTACTCCCATGACACATTAAATAATACATTATAAGCCAAACATGCACAAGGATACGTTAGTGCCTTAGTATTTCCATGGATATTCTTCAGAACTCCATCTCCATAACAGCCATAATTCTTTCACTTGTCTTTTGTGTGTTCATACTTCATCTTCTGACCAAAAAAGTACATGTAAAAAAGAGGTACCATCCCGTTGGCGGCACCATTTTTAATCATCTCATCAACTTCCACAGGTTGCACCATTACATGACTGATCTTGCTGGCAAGTACAAGACTTACAGATTGATTAGCCCTTTCAGGAATGATATTTTTACTTCTGACCCTGCTAACGTCGAATACATTCTCAAAACAAACTTTGAAAATTATGGCAAGGTACTCCATTTTCTTGACATCTCAGATAATCTTTTTTTAATGTTAGAATTTGATTGATACTGAAAAGATGTAAACCAGAGAAGCTTCTCAAATAATATTTTCATAATAATCGTGTCTAATGAAAAATAACAAAATCCACAACTATATATAAGGAAACCTATCCCAAATAGCATGACATTTGATTTTGAATCCTGCTTTCTATGAAAATAATAAATAGTAAAATCAAACTAGAAAATTTTAAATTAGGAAAACATGTAAAAATAATACTCCCACATAAGTTGCAGCTGGCTATATGGATCTCCCAATAGATATGACAACATGGTATAACGAATTGTCAATCTTGAGTTTTTCGAATAATCTGCAGGGAAGGTATAGTTACAACATCCTAAAGGACCTGTTCGGGGATGGGATTTTCACAGTTGATGGTGATAAGTGGCGGGAGCAGAGGAAGTTTTTGAGCCACGAGTTCTCCGCAAGGATCTTGAGGGATTTTAGCAGTGTGGTATTCAGAAAAGATGCAGCAAAGTTAGCCCATATATTGTCTGAAGCTGTCAAATCCAGCAAGATAATAGACATTCAAGTAAGTCCACAAATCGACTTCACAGAATGGTGCCTTATTTATTCTTACCAGACGAATAATCCTAGTTTTATCGATGTAGGATCTGTTCATGAAAGCAACTCTAGATTCTATATTCAGAATTGCCTTCGGAGTTGAGCTAGACAGCATGTGTGGTTCAAATGATGAAGGCAAAAAATTTATCAATGCATTTGACGATGCAAGTGAATTGACACTTTGGAGATTTGTTGATATCTTATGGAAGATTAAAAGATTTCTCAATATCGGATCAGAAGCCAAGTTAAGAGACAATATAAGAACTATTGATGAGTTTGTTTATAAGCTGATCCACAGAAAAACTGAACAGATGAGCAAACCAGAAGCTGATTTATCTGTAGGTTAATCGTCTTATATCTACTACTTTTATTAATGTGGACAGATGCTAATTAGACATTATAATCTTTTTCCAGTTGCAATGGAAGAAAGAAGACACTTTGTCAAGGTTTCTTCAAACAGCTGAAACAGATCCAAAGTATTTGCGTGATATAATGTTGAACTTCATAATAGCAGGCAAAGATACAACAGCAACCACCCTTTCTTGGTTCATATATGTGCTATGCAAATATCCTCATGTACAGGAGAAAGTAGCACAGGATATTAAAGAAGCAACAAATGAGAAACAAGATGCAACAGACATAATGGATTTTGCTGCCAATGTAAGTGAAGATGCCCTTGAAAAGATGCAATATCTTCATGCAGCATTGACCGAGACCCTTAGGCTCTATCCTGCAGTTCCAGTGGTAATAAAGAACTTCTTTTATCATACATCACCGGCCAATTAGATGCATGTTATAAAGTTGTTGTTTTTGTTTTTCTTCTTACTGCAGAATGGGAAAATATGTTTTTCGGATGACACCTTACCAGATGGATTCAATGTGAACAAAGGGGACATAGTGGCTTACCAATCATATGCAATGGGAAGAATGAAATTTATATGGGGTGATGATGCAGAAGAATATAAACCAGAGAGATGGCTTGATGGGGATGGTTTCTTCAGGCCTGAGAACCCCTTCAAATTTACAGCTTTCCAGGTTGGTCAAAGCACGTTATTAGCTTTAATTATCATTTGTTAGATCCTTGAACGCGAGGCAATACTTAATTTTTCTAGTGCCTGTATATTTTCTTATTATAACTAGCTAAGCCCATTCCTTTGTTGATAAAACAGGCAGGGCCAAGGATCTGCTTGGGGAAGGAGTTTGCCTATAGGCAAATGAAGATATTATCTGCTTTGTTGTTACGTTACTTCGTTTTCAGGTTGAGTGATGAAGAGAAGACTGTCAACTACAGAACAATGATTAGTCTTCACATTGATGGGGGATTGCATGTTCGCGTCTTTCACAGACAGTGAAATTAGAAAGACTTTACAATAATATGTATATTGTCTATTAGTATTACTCCAATTCTGCCTGAATGTTGTTTATGACATCAATAAACAAAATAAGCCTATCAAGTACCAAATAACATGGAAATAAAGTTTGTTGCATGGGTGTGGCCTTTTTGTGCCTTCATTGATCTTAATTAAAAGATTAGTTCTACTTTGGTCTTTTATAAGTTTTTCAGATTCAGTTTTGGTCATGTGAAAAGATTTAGCTATGAATTCATCAGAGAATCCATTTAGAGTGCCGATGAATCCACCTAAACAGAAACCGCAGTATTCTCCAGGTGTGTATTCGTCATCATATTCTCCTAAGAAAATTATTTTGAATTCAGAGTCGCCATTATTGTACCACCATGACACTGTTTTAAAGGTAAGTGGTAGGGCATCCCCTTTTTGTAATTTTATAACTTCTTCTTTTGAATCTTCCGGTGATATCAATCCAACAATGCATTCACCTGTGAAAATTATACTAATTAATAAGAAAGGATTGTCCAAGACGATATAATTAAGTGTGACTCCAATAACTACTGTGTATGTCGAGATAATATCTCAGATAGTCATACGTACCTTCACAAACATAACCAATTTTTGAGGAAACAGAATAGTAAGGTTGAGAAAAACCATGAGGCTGCAGAAGTAATAATCCAGCAGAAAGTTTTTTTTGGCTGAGAAGAGGAAATTGGCTATTTGACCAACCGTAATATCCACCAACTCCTTCAACTTCCATCATTGTTTTATCTGCTTTTTTCGATGCCAATATTAAATCCATCGTCTCAAATTACACAAACTCCAACTATATTTTACCAATAAAACACTTTTCAATGCTCATATATTCTTCACAGGCTGACTCGTTCTATTTATAGAGACCACAGACCACAACTTTGAAATATAAAAATTACTATTAGTCCGTTAAAAGATATTCTCTGTGTCCCTAATTACTTGTCCACTTTTGAATTGACACATTTATTAAGAAAAAATAAGTGACACAGTAAATTTCTCATTTTACCCCTATTAATTATGAAGTTGATGAATTAAAACTTAAGATTTTCAAGCAGTTTTACCTTTTTCAAAGTAGTTAATTGAGAGTATAATAGGTAAATTCTTTTTGTCTTTTCTTGATTTGTCAAAATGGACAAGTAATTAGGGACAGATGGAGTATGTATAGAATGTATCAAAATGCTCTTTAATTTTGTGATTTTAAACATGACAGGTGGAAAGTTAGAATTAAAGACTTATCAAATTAAAAAAAAGAAAGACATAATACATAAATATATCATTTAATTTTGGCTTCAACTAACATCTATACCATCCAATTTTGGATGTATTCAAATACACTTAAATTATATAAAGTCGAATAAATAGATACACATTCTACATGGTAAATTAGAGTATAACAGTCTGTTTGGTAAATGTATTAATATAGATAGATCGATTATACATAATGAATTGAATTTGATGTAAAGTTTAGGTTATTGGAGAAACAATGAATTGAAATCAAAATTTTGAACAACATTTTAGTGGCACTTTAATCCGCCTTTCACAAGAACAGAAGATTGATCTATTAGAGAATTCATTGACTACCATCTTGCATCACCTAAATCTATTAGAATTTTAATTGAGAAAATGATTTGATTTACTCTTTAACTTTGGATTTAGAGCTGACGTATTCCTCCTTAAAAAAGAGGCTCACATATATTTCTACTATTACACAAATAGTCCAGATATATCTTTTTCCGCTAACAAAAGTGAAATGTGATTTTGATTTTTTAAAATAAAATTCATATAAGGGTATATTTGATCCTTATCACCAAATTCATGGGATATTTGATCATTCTTACACATGAGTATTTTTTTACTTTTTTTATTCAACGACTAATTTGAGTTTTAAATAGAGCAACTATAATTATCTTCATTAATTATAGTTTGCCTAATTACGGTTCATAGCTATAATTAAAGAGAGGAGAGAAGCGCCGGGATTAGGAAAGAGTGAGAAGAAACGTTAGCAAGATTTGAGAGATAGAGAGGAGATATGATATACGTACACATGTTATATTTAGAGAGAGGAGAAAGTCGAGGGAGATTTGGGAGAAAGAAGAAAGATACTATAGGTTGTATTCGACATATAAATAAATAAAATCTTATACATACAAGTTAAAACACTAGTATTCATCCATTTCATACGCTCATTTAGCATGATTATCAAGTTGAGGGATTAATGCACTGAATGGCTATAATTATTAACGAAGTATATATAATTTAGTTAAAATAAACATAACAGATCATAAATCATGGCTAAAGTTAGGAATGTGGAAAATTTGTAGCTCATTGTAGGATGGCCATAGCCCACATTGATATAATGAGCACATAATTTGATTTACGAGGAGTTTGACTTTGATTAATCTCACGTTTGGCTATTATTATTTGAGGGATTAATTTGATATCTAGAGGAGTTTGACTTTTTGTTTACTTATTTCCATACAGAAGCAAGATCAACCTCACGTTTGGCTATTATTGGAGGGAATTCAGCCAACCTCTAATATCACATTCAAGATATAGTCATAAAAATTCTTTAAAATAGGAATTCGGTGAACCCTCTAACTACCTCTAGGTCTCCCCCTGTTTGTAGCCCACACATATAAGCTTTTAAATACTCTTCTTTTAAATTAATTTAAAAAGAATGTATATTTTTTTGTAATTATTTAATTTCAACATGTTTGAGATCATAAAATTAGAAAATATTTTGATACGTTATGTGTATCTGCTGGTAATAAACACACCATCAAATTGAAACGGGGAGTGTATTATAAGTCAAATATGTGTAGCAGAGGTGAATTCAGGATTTCAAAAAAGACGGGTACACCATTGACAGGGGCAGCTCGGCCCCTTTAAGAAAAAGGTAATCACTTTAGGCTCACAAATTTGAGGGTCTTATTTATTTTAGCAATAATAGATTATAGGTTTTTAATAAGAAAACTATTAAATACGATTTGCGGGAAAAAATAATATTAAAGGAAAAAACTATTAGAAGTTTGATATATCTCGAGTACTATGTCACAAAAAATATTAAATGCATTGATATATGAATTATCGATTGAAAAAGAATTATTAAAAGAAACCATTTATAAAAAAAATAAAAAAAATATATGCAATTTTGCATCTCAAGAAATTTAAAAAGTTCACTATATAAAAAGAAAATGAGAACTTTTCAAAAAAGTAACAAACAATGGTGCTTTTTAATTAATTTTTAAAAAGAGGTCCTTGGAATCGAACCCTTAACCTCACAATCAAAAACCAACCCTTGAACCAGTGAACCATCCAGTTATTTATGAATTATGATCATGGGTTCCTTTATTTAATATTTAGTATATTTTAAGAATTATAATAATAATATATCGAGTTTTGTCGGATGACCACGGTTCGGGTGACCATTTTTTACACTTAAATTCGCCCCTGCTGTGCAAGGATACGGAAGTGGTTTGCATGGATATTCTTCATAACTCTATTATATCCATAACAGCCACCATTATCTCACTTCTCTTATTTTGTGTATTCATACTTCATTTTCTGACCAAAAAATTACATGAAAAAAAAAGATACCATCCAATTGGTGGCACCGTTTTCAATCTGCTTATCAATTTCCACCGGGTGCACCATTACATGACTGATCTTGCTGGCAAGTACAAGACTTACAGATTTATTAGCCCTTTCAAGAATAGGATTTGTACTTCTGACCCTGCTAACATCGAATATATTTTGAAAACAAACTTTGAAAACTATGGCAAGGTACGCCATTTTGATCTTGACATCCCCAGTAATGTATCTTTTATGTTGTAATTTGATTGATTCTAAAAAGCCCCATTATTTAGTAATTTGTTAGAACGGTTTAGAGTCCCATATTGGTCACGGAATGAACTGGTGATCTGCTTATATATATTTGGGAAATACTCTCCTCGTGAATTAGCTTTTGGAATTGAGTTTGGTCCAAGTGTCATATATTTACATGTGAAGTTGAGAAGCTACCATAATGCCTCAACTCCTATATATGGATCTCTCAATAGATGTAACAGAATGATATAAAGATTTTCTGATTGCCAAACTTGAGTTTACGAATTTCTGCAGGGAGGGTATAATTACTACATCCTAAAGGACTTGTTAAGGGTTGGAATTTTCACAGTTGATGCTGATAAGTGGCGGGAGCAGAGGAAGTTGTCGAGCCATGACTTCTCCACAAGGGTCTTGAGGGATTTTAGTAGTGTGGTATTCAGAAAAAATGCAGCTAAGTTTGCCCATATATTGTCTGAAGCTGTCAAATCCAACAAGATAGTAGACATTCAAGTAAGTCCATGATAGTAGACAGTGCCTTGTTTTTTCTTATAATCAAATGAGTAATACTAGTGTGATCGATGTAGGATCTATTCATGAAAGCATCTCTAGATTCTATATTCAGAGTTGCTTTTGGAGTTGAGCTAGACAGCATGTGTGGTTCAAATGAAGAAGGCAAAAAGTTTAGCGATGCATTTGATGATGCAAGTGCATTGAAATAAGGTTTGCTGTGTATGGTATGTATCATTGTTACACATTCACATTTTCATTGTTTTACCTTCCTCCCCAAGTGCTTTCATGCCATGTAAGTTTGTGATTTTCAGTGGAATAACAATTGTTTCCCTTTCCCTGACCACACTTCAGGAGAAAGTGATTGTAGAATTTCAATTTTGTTCTCTAGCTTCAAAGAAAGAACCACGGATAGAAGTTGCATGAATATTAACTTACGTCGTTGTTGTTTACTGTTCACGAGTAATCCATAGGTTGCACCATTACATGACTGATCTCGCTGGCAAGTACAAGACTTACAGATTTATTAGCCCTCTCAGGAAGAAGATTGATACTTCTGAGTTCTGACCCTGTTGACGTTGAATACATTCTCAAAACAAACTTTGACAACTATGGCAATGTTAAGATCCAAGACTATCCCTAGTCGTAACACGTTGCTTAGAGCCACAATTGATCCCAAGTTAATCCATAGTCTGACATGATACTAGGATTTATGTACAACTGAAAATATTTGAGACGAAAATTGAGAATACTATGATTTTACATATTTTTGTTAATCAATAAAAAAGATCTACACAGTCAGGTCTTAATTGGAAAAGAATCAAGTGGAAAAGAAGGAATCTGTCAAGTCAAAGAAATCTTAGTAGCTCAGTAACCGTCTTTCTGAACGTTCACCTTATTGGTGAAAGTTCAATTCTGTTGGAATGTATGCGTCCACTGGTCTAGATGGGACCAGGTCCTCGGCACAGTTAAAATAACAGAAAATAAACAACGTGCTGAAAGTAAAGATTGCACAACAACTTTACGTGGAAACCTCCTTGCTCAAGGGAGTAAAACCACGACCTGGCCTGCCAGGACTTTTCAAAAAAACTGCTTTTACTAATCTTCTCAAGCAAACTAAGCGGATACCACACCGCCCACTAAATCAACTAGCTCCTAGATGACTTAGAATTTGACTAAGCAGCAACCAATGCTGCCCACTAAATCAGTTAGCTTCAACTGATTTAGACTTTTACAACGAACACAAGAATCTGAATCCTTTATAGATTAGGAACAGATTTACAATATAAGCACGGAAGTAAAACTCCTAAGACACACTCTGACGCTTGCAGCTCGATCAGGTCCTTGTTGTGCTTGCTGGAGAATACTTCACCAAAATGGTCTTTGCTTGTATACTTGATAAGTTTCAAAATGCAAAAACCTATAAAATGATAGACACAAAACTCAAACTCAACAAAGATGCT